AGAGACAACCTCTCATTATTATTTTAATTTTTTTTGTAATTTTATAGCTTAGTATGAAAGATAATGTATCATTGATGATAAATTTGGAAGAGTTGTTATCAAAGTTTGATTTCACCATTAAAATAGTATAATATTGAAGTTTTTCTAACAATTTTTTTTTTTTATAATCAAATATCTGAATTAATTTAAGTGTACTTCAATTAATTTTGGAATACTAAAATAAACGATCAGACAAATCGCCAATGACCTTAAAGTTTGGAATGTTTGGTCCTCATAAAATTCGAACATATAACCTCTTAGACAATAAACTATTTGGTTATCTCGTCCTCCCACTAACCCCTCTTTTTGTGGGAACACATTGTATGTAACAATGACATAAAGTGCGTCTCACGAAACCCTCTCTCAAGAAACTCTCTCTCTAAGTAACGGTAACAATGGCAGATCCATCGAGAAGGAGGATCATCTGGTGCATAGCACCAAAAAAGTCAAAAGCTCTACGATTGAGGAAGGAAATCAATAGATGGATGAGGTACTGGCGCCACTTGAGGCAAATTCTGAGATTCAAGAGATAGAAGTGCTTTCGCCGCCTTCTGAGGCAACGCAAAGGAAATATTTTAAACAAGCTCTCATAGCAACCAAGCATAATGAAAAGGCCTTCGACAATGATCTGGATCGCTTTTCCACTGATGATGAGTTCCTCACTGATGAAGAGGATAATGAGGCACTATCAGAGGATGAACACAAGCACGCTATAGAACCACGAATACCCAAAATCAAACGTCCCCCACGTCTAGTGAAATCAATCCGTAAACCATGGAAGGATTGTCTCATAGAACATCTACTGGGGAAATAGTGGGTTTTAAATTTCTGATCAACAAATTGAAGAAAATTTGGGGACTACAAGGAGATTTTGAGGCCACTGATCTGGGTTATGGATGAAATTCGAAATGATAGCTAACTGCAATAGAGTCTACACAGAAGGACCTTGGATAATCATGGATCACTACCTAACTGTTTGAAGGTGGAAACATGATTTCAAACCATAAGAAGCTAAGGAGGTTGCAACGGCTTTGTGGGTTAGATTCCCACAACTCCCAATTGAATACTACAATGAAAAGGAACTTTTCCATATCGCCAATGTGATAGGTAAACCACTTAAAGTGGATCTTAACACAGTAATGTCTACAAGAGGTAGATATGCTCGGGTGTGTGTTGAAGTTGATCTCACGAAGCCGCTAGTCTCTAGATTTGCCATAGGAAAATATACGTATATAATAGAATATGAACATCTACACTACTTTTGTTTTGTGTAAGAGGAGCTAATTTAAGCCCACTAAATTATTTAGGCCCAATAGCCCAAGATTAGTGGGCCCGAATCTATCGCAAGTCCAAGATTGGTGGGCTTGGATTTATCGCCGTCAAACGGGCTGAATGGCTCTAAGCCTCGAAAGGATTCGGATCCACGAACCTAGAGACTTACTCGGGCCCGGACTCGAAAGGGTATTAAGCAAGCCTAGAGATCCGAGGCACTCGGACTCGAAAGGATTCGGATCCACGAATCTAGAGATCTGAAGTACTTGGCTTCGAACGGATTCAGACGCAATCTAGAAGTCGCTCCGTTAATGAGTCCCAGAACACTTGCGGGCTCGGAGCTTTCCGGGATCTACGCACCAGAACCATGGGCGTAATGGAGTTCGAACAAAGGACCCGATCCCGAGGACGGGGAGTGGAGATAAATTCACTCTTCGGTTAAACTAGCCTATACCCATATCTATTTCTTGAGCACAAAGATCCATCAATAAGAAGGAAAGTGAATTTATTCATTTATTTATTACAAGAGCTGCCACCACACAAATATATATATATATATAAAACAATTGAAAGAGTTACTCACAGATTCACGCCAATGGAAGAAGAGCACGACTGGAAGTAGTGACAAGACTACAAAACGTGAGCCAGACACACCTGAGGCCGACGCCGAGCAGCACCAAGCAGGCCCACTCACACATCGCGTTGAAAGGGCAACGTGCGTAGTCGACGTTGGAGAGTTGAGGACGGAGGCAGTGTTGAAGATGTAGCTGAGTCGGCGTCGATCAAGATCAACAAGATTGAGCTAGGCTGAGCTAGACCACACACGTTGCGTTGAGAGGGCGAACGTGTGTGGTTTGCATTGGACCGTCGAAGCCGGAGGAAGAGTTTCAGCAAAGAGAGGCCGATGGTAGGCTGGTTTGGTCTTGGCGCAAGGCATCAAGCATGACATCATTCCTATCACATCTCCACCCTGGACATCAATATTTCAATGCAAGCATCAAATATTCTATTTATGTTAGATTTGTCAACATGAGTTCAAGATTTAGCAACAAGAGTTCAACAGTAACTATTCCAATATTCATGAGGATGACGATGAATAAATTCACATGAGACAACCGGTGAATGCTCAATATTTTTCAATAGTTCTATTTGTATCAAAATTATCAAGCCACGGGCTCAAGTTATAAATATCAGGAGGTGTGCAATGTCATGGTGTGTTTTTATCTTGCAAAATCAACAGTGAAATTCAACAGCCCAGTTTTGAAGACTTATCTATATCCAGTCCATCAATAAAAGTGCCAAATCTCAAGTAAGGGTTTCAAGATGTACATAATCAGAGCCAGTTAAAGAGATCCGAAGTGATAAAGAAGAATGAAGTTTCTCAAATGAAGACCAAAGCTCGTCAAAATGAAGAGCTGGTTTGGGTCCAAGAACAACCAGGACAGGTCCGCAACGACACGATGGAGGGCAGAGACGCAGCACGGGGGGTCAAAATTCCTCGTTGGGAGGATATCAAAGATGACAAGGAGTCGATGGCAGAATCAAGTAAGCGGGCGATGTCTAGACCAGAAAGTCCGTCTATTCCTCGGAAGGTGATGAAAGTTTGAGAATGAGGCAAGATGGTGTATTATTTATGAAGGGGCGGGGAGTCGGTTTCTTCAGTCACCGACTCCGAGTCAAAAGAAGAGCCTCCTGACAATGACATAGCGATAAAGCCTAAAGTGGGTCCAGAATGCATGCAAGATGGGTCGAAGCCTCAGCCCGAACAACTTATTGAAATAGATCTGAGTGATGGACAAGATGCACCAACGCCGATATTCATAAGTTCGAGCCTCAGCCCAAAGAAGCAGGAACAATTGTTAAAGTTGATAAGCCGGTATTCAGATGTGTTTGCTTGGTCATATAAGGAAATGCCCGGACTAGATCCTGACCTAGTCTCTCATTATCTTGATGTGTTCCCAAATTCCAAGCCAATTAAGCAAGCTGCTCGAAAGTATCATCTAGATCTCGAAGAGGAGATTAAGGAGGAGATTGAAAAACTTCAACAGGCTGGTTTCATCTGGCCAATACAGTACCCCACGTGGTTAGCAAACATCGTGCCAATAAAGAAGAAGAATGGCCAAATCAGAGTATGTGCAGACTTTCGAGATTTGAACAAATCTTGCCTGAAGGGTGAATTCCCTCTTCCTCACATCGACACCCTCGTGGATACTACCTTGGGACACCAGATGTTCTCATTCATGGATGGATTCAGTGGATACAATCAGATTAAGATGGCTGAAGAGGACGCAGAAAAGACCGCTTTTAGAACACCTCTCGGAAACTTCTTCTATACAGTCATGCCTTTCGGACTCAAGAATGCCGGTGCAACTTACCAAAGGGCTATGACTGCAATCTTTCATGACATGATCCATCATGAGGTGGAAGATTATGTTGATGATCTAGTGGTGAGATCCAAGAAAGAAGAAGACCATCTCCGAGACCTTGAGAAGGTATTCAAGAGGTGCCAAAAGTTCAAAATGTGGATGAATCCTCTCAAATGTGCTTTCGGGGTGACGGCCGGGAAGTTCCTCGGGTTTCTTGTACATAGGCATGGTATCGAGGCAGATGAAGACAAGGTCAAATCTATCAGAGCAAGGCCTCCCTCGCATTCTCAGAAAGAGTTAAAGAAGTTCCTCGGGAAGGTGTCTTATATTCAGAGGTTTATCCCAGCACTGGCAGAGATCTCTGCGCCTGTCGGCTCTTTGTTAAAAGGAGATGCCAAGTTCGCGTGGAACCAAGAGCACCAAAAGGCCTTCGAGAGAATCAAGGCGGCCTTGACCTCGCCTCAGACCATGATAACCCCACAGCCCGGGGTGCCTCTAATGTTGTACTTAACTTCAACCCCCAAGTCCATAGGGGCATTATTGGTCCAAGATGTAGATGGAGTAGAACGCCCGGTGTATTATATCAGCCGGAAGATTCGAGGAGCAGAAGTTCGATATACTCCGGTAGAGAGACATTGTTTAGCTTTGGTATTCACTGCCCAAAATCTCAGACATTACTTCTTAGCACATCAGATTCAGATTGTTACTAGAAGTGATCCAATCCGATACCTCATCAGCAAGCCTGCTCTAACCGGGAAGGTGGCAAGATGGTTGTTAGCACTGGGTGAATTCGAGATCACTTGTGTAGCCCCCAAGGCGATCAAAAGCCAAGCCTTTGCTGACCTCCTTGCTCAATTTCCAAGTAGTGACTATGAACCAGTGAATGAAAAATTAAGAGGAGATGTGCATGCAGCTATGGCTTCCGAGGAAAGCTTTTGGACATTGAGCTTTGACGGAGCAACAGCCAGAGGCTTGATAGCAGCTGAGAAGCACAGTATCAAGAAGATTTGGATCCAGGGGGACCCAAAGTTGACAGTGAAGCAAGTTTCAGGACAGTTCGTCTTAAAGGAGCCTGCCTTGGCCACATATCGAACAACAGTCCAAAGGCTTCTTGACAAATTTCAGAAGGTCGAAATAGAGCATGTGCCTCGCTCCGACAACAAGTTTTCAGATGCCCTCGCAACATTAGGGGCAAGAGTTGACATTCCAGAGGAAGAGGCAACAATTGTTATCAAGAAGAGAACAGAACCTTCAATAACACCCGAAGACAAAGACCTTCCAGAGGATTGGAGAGGAGAAGTCCTCGAACAACGTAGAAGCAAAGTTGGAAAACTGATTATGGCCAAGCTTGCCCAATTCATAATTATTCAAGGAGAACTTTACTTCCGAGGGGGTACCGGATTCCTAGCCCGGTGTGTTGGCCAACAATAAGCAAGTTTCCGACTACAACAGATTCATGAAAAATCCTGCGGGGATGGGGATATCAGTTTGTACAGAAAGATCCAAAGACATGGCTATGATGGTATATGATGGCCACAACCCGAGCAGCTGGTGAAAGCTTTCCAAATGATCTTGCAACTCTAGGGGCAAATTTCAACATTCCGTAGAAGAAGTCTATCTATGACATTTACAGTTTGCATTTACTACAGTGTCCAAGAAGTTCTATCTTTCTTATGTCATGAAGAAATTTATTTCCTCCATATTATGTATCTCCATTAGAAGCTATTTTCTCTACATTGTATATCTTCATTGTGTTACGTTGCTTGAAACAGTTTTCAATTTTTTGTTGCCCCTCAAAGAAGAAAAAGGAATGGTAGATTCAGTTACCAACCTGAAGGGAGTTTTCTTGACACAGTAGAAGTATACTTCTACTCGGACCTCCGAGAGACAGCCTTGTTCCTGCTCGGACTTCTGAGGGAGAGCCTTCCGAGGGACAACTCTTGCTCTCATTAGTGCGGGTCTGAAGAACAGCTCTTGATTTCATCAATACGAGCTCCGAGGATCTTTCTTTTCAAAGTAGAGTGGACTCTTACTCGAACTCCCGGGGGATAGCCTTTGCTTCCATTAGCTGCCAAAGTAGAAGTGCGCATCCACTCGGACTTCCGAGAGAAAGTCTTGTTTCTACTCGGACTTCCGAGGGACAGCCTTGTTTCTGTTCGGACTTCCGAGGAACAGCCCTTGCTCTCATTAGTGAAGATTCTGAAGGCCTCGAGGTTGTGGATTTCACACAAAAATTTATTTGCCTGAAATAGCAAAGCCGACAACTGAGATGAGCAATATCAATTTCATATCATGATTCAGGCGTTATCAGAATGGGACAACATCAACAAATAATAATGATCTATTTAAGCTACAACAATTTTACTCCTCCGAACAAGTTCATGAAAATGCAACAATCATGTCTTTGTCTCTTCGGGCCGGTTCCTCTCAAGCCGACATAAAGCAACAATGTTCCAACAAAAGTCCGGCATCAACATTTTATTTTCTCCGAGTGTCCACAAAATCAGCACACATCAATATATGTTCTTATTCTCTATTACATTAGTTTATTCTTCCAAGCGAAACATTCACCGAATATAGATATCGAAATTCATTCATCAAGTATATAAAGTTCAACATCGGATTTCACTATTCTCGGAGCCACAACAATCAATTATCCGACAAGAAGATATATATACAATATGAGAGACTTAATTCCTCGGATTTATTTTGCAACAACATTTATTTACTCTACAAATTTCAAGACGAGCAAGTTTAACAAAATTTTCAGTAGCAACACCAATCCTTCATTTGCCACAAAAATATATTTATATATATTTAAATATATTTACATTCGGAAGAGGGGGCCGAATTTCATACTTACAAATTTGGGCAGTTAGAGAGATGAAGTCCGAAGCCGATACTGGAAATTTAAGCTGAAATCAGAGAGGCTTTACAGACTGTAATCAACAAGATTGGGCTAGGCTTGAAAGGACCACACACGTTGCGTTGAGTGGGCGAACGTGCGTGGTCGGCGTCGGACAAGTTGAAGCCGGAAGCAACGCTGGTACCACAGAAGAGTCGGCAACCACACACGTCACGTTGAGTGGGGCGATATGTGTGGTCAGCATTGGACCGTCGAAGCCAGAAGCAAACCAGCAGAGAGAGGCCAGCGGTAGGTATTGTCTTCACTAGTTCAAGATTGTTTGCAAGCCTCAAGACTGAAATAAATTATCACCAGAATTCCCAAATTAGAAAAATGTATCAGTGCATATTTATTTTGAGCACAAAAGTCCATCAAAACAATAAGAAGGAATACCCACAGATCCAAAAATATAATAAGAATGAGAAGAGGGTTTCGGGAGAAAACAGTTTACAGATCTGAATCAGTGTAGAAAAAATAAAAGATATGGGCAGAGTAAGCACTGTGCAAGCAAAACTGAGTTGTGTGGTCCGATTTTTGAAAGGTATTACTGGGCCGAGAGGGGGACGAGCTGAACGGCGTTAAGCAAGGCCACACGGCGCGTTGAGTGGGCGACGTGTGGTTGGCGCTGTGCAGCTGAGGCCAGAGGCGAAGTTTCGGCAAAGAGAGGCTGACGATAGGTGGGTTTGGCATTGGCACAAGGCATCGGGTGAGAAGGATAGGTCAGCCAGTAGCGAGCTGGGCTGGTGTCGGCATGAACCGGTGGCTGAGATGCGACGCTAATGGTAGCCAAAGCTGTGGCGGCGGACGACGTGCACAGTGGTGTGGGTCTTCGGCAGCGGCCTTGCTTGGAGCTGCGATGGAGGCCAGTGCACTACACAGAAGCGGCCTCTGGTGTTGCAGAAATAGAGCTTCATTGAGGAAGATGCTAGGCTGGGTCTTGTCTCGGTTTGCTTACAGATAGTGGGCTGAAAATGAGTTTGGCAGAAAGAGAATAAGGCCAAGGGTTATTATCCATTGTTTGGAAAAAAAAAAATTTTGGTTATGGCGGCCCCTCAGATATTCTACAATATATATATATATATATATAGAAAGGGACAAGCATTTGATGGATTTTTTAATTTCAAGAAAGGAATTCAATGGGTTTTCACCGTTCTAGATAAAAGAAGAAGCTTGGTCTCAGTCTCTCTTTTTAGGGAGAGAAAATGTGCCTGCCGAATAGGTGTTGCCTCCTAAAAGAGAAATATTAGGGCTTTTGTTCTTATCTCCAAAAGGAAAAAAAAAAAGTAAAGCAAAAAGTGAGCTATCAATTAGGTTTTTGGTCCCTTTTCTTTATATATAATAAAAAAAAAATGGTGTGATGCCTACATAACAGCCTGCCGTTTGCTTTTTTTTTCCAAATCAAAAATAAAGGTGCATGAACCTTACCTTTTTAGGCTATAAAGTGAAAAGTGGGCTAGCTGTATTCTAAAAGAAAAAGTGTGGCTTATCTTGTCAAGAATACAGAAATTGATTTTTTTTTTTAGAGGAGTTAATTTGAGCCCACTAAATTATTTAGGCCCAATAACCCAAGATTAGTGGGCCCGAATTTATCGCAAGTCCAAGAATCGGTGGGCCCAAGATTTATCGCCATCAAACGGATTGAATCGCTCTAAGCCTCGAAAGGGTTCGGATCCACGAACCTAGAAACTTACTCAGGCCCGGACTCGAAAGGGTATTAGGCAAGCCTAGAGATCCGAGGTACTCGGACTCGAAAGGGTTCGGATCCACGAACCTAGAGGTCCGAAATACTTGGCTTCGAACGGATTCAGACGCAATCTAGAAGTCGCTCCGTTAATGAGTCCCAGAACACTTGCGGGCTCGGAGCTTTCCGGGATCTACGTACCAGAACCATAGGCGTAATGGAGTCCGAACAAAGGACCCGATCCCGAGGACGGTGAGTGGAGATAAATTCACTCTTCGGTTAAACTAGCCTATACCCGGGTCGAGGTGGCACGACCCCGGGGGGTCCATGAGACTCGGCAATATTTTGCGGCAGGACGTCCTCTGGGACTACCCCTGACCCTTTGGGATGATTGGGGATCATTGGTTAGGTGTGGCTAAGAAGAAGGGTTCGCCGAGGGATTGATCTCCTCTTCGGGGTTTTCTCATCCTCGGAGAAGTCACCTCCTCGGAGAGGTCACCTCCTCGGAGAGGTCACCTCCTCGGAGAGGTCACCCCCTCGGACAAGGTGGTTAGAGAGAATATCCCCCATGTGCCTTGCACATGGGCTCCATCCTACATCATGAGGTGCCTATAAATAGCACCCACCCATAGCTTTACAAGGGATGGATTTTGGAGATTTTAACTCTTGGGAAAGAACTAATTTCCCTTCTCCATTATCAACCTTGAGAGTGAAAGTGGGAGATCAATGGGAGAGTCTTGCCATTATTCTATTCTCTAGCCATTTTGCCTTCTTCTTCACCCAATCTCTTATCTCCATCATCTCCTTTGTTGTTGTGTTCCTAAGTTGAGATTATTGAAGAATCTAAGCCTCTCATCATATTCTAGAGAATTCGAAGTTGTTCTTTAAGGGTCTTTGAAGATCTTCGAATTTTCCAACTCCTTTCTTGAACCCTCTCCTACATTTTGCTTGTGGAAAGGTTGGCCATCAGAAGAATACTACAGCCTTAAACCAGTACAGGTACCAGTATCGACTTCGACACCGGTGTGTCTAAAAGAGCTGAGCAGAGCCTAACGGCTACCTTATCCAGCCCAAAAGATGATCTATCACTTGGAGATGAGGCTCAATTTGGCCCATGGATGCTTGTTAACAGAAGAACTCGTAAGCCCACGGTTCATAACCGTAATTCAGGGCCTGCAATGCACAAAAAGCTCAACAACAAATTTGGGCCACTTAATAATATGCATACCATGGATGGCACCAATGATGATACTAAAAGCAAAGGGGTCCAAGTGTCTTAGCCCATGCATTCCCCAAAGGCATCGTCCAGTGTAATACACTCGTACACCAACATTGTGTCTGCAGCCCTTACTCCAGAGGTTATTACTATTGCTGTGAACCATCCCCCTTCTAGCTCAGATATGTCAACTCAAATGCAGGTTTGCCATTAGAAGTGTACCACTGCTTCTGAGATTAGAATCGAGGTGAACTCTACGATAGAGTCAGAGAGTCTGATGAATGAGCTAGCTCCCATTAACCCACCCATTTCCTGTCCACCCACCCCTTCATCACCCCACCTTTTTGTCCATCAAGAAAATAACACTTTGGCCATTCTTTCTTCTGTAAAACCCAAACCTAAGAAAAACCCCCTGACCCTAACCATAGGCGACAATATCACCAACGAAGAAATAGAGATGTTGGAAGTATAGTTATCTACGATAACTCATTATGCGATGGGTTCGTACCTCGAACCGAGAGCGAAGCAATTCACCAAGTAAGCATCGTCTGGTGGATAAGCGAAATCAGGCTGAATCTAGAACCTAGATGGCAGAGCACAATAGGAAAGCCACTACATGCGACGTAGATGGCAGCCGCGAGGCCGACTACACTGAATCACAAACTAATGCGTGACAAGATTGGTTTGAGTCACTCAGACTCATTACCAGACTTTCCTACTCGTCCATCAATGAATGTCATGCTATGGAACTTCCGAGAAGCCTGTAACAAAACCTTCAGAAGGAACTTCAGGGAAATCACTCGAGTTCATAGACCTAATGTGGTGGCCCTCTTCGAAACCAAGGTCTTGTTTAGTTCTATGGGAATATTTTTCAACAACCTAGGTTATACTACATCTACTATTGTGGATCCCGTGGGAAGGGTTGGAGGTATTTGGTTTCTTTGGAACCTTACAAAAGTCTCAGTCAGTGCTCACATAGCTAATCAGCAGATGATTCAAACCACCGTTAAAAGGGAAGATTATGAAGACTGGGTTCTAGTTGCAGTCTATGCTAGTCCCAACGTCAGGCTCCACCAATCCTTATGCCATGATTTGGAGGATACGACCAACTCTATGACTCAGCCATGGCTTATTGCAAGGGACTTCAACAAAAAAAAGTGGGCAGAATGAAAGGAGGAGCTTCTTCCAAAGTAACCAACAAGATCGGAGCCGTAAATTCTTGGACCAAATCAACTGTTGTGGTCTCATGGATCTCGGCTGCACGGGGCCTAGATTTACCTGGACAAACAACAGGAAGGGATTAGCCAACACTATGGAGAGACTTGATCTGGCGTTGTGTAATGCTAAATGGAGCACTCTATTTCCTAACGGCACTATACATAATCTCCCTTGGACTTATTCTGATCACTCTCCTCTCATTGTCTACATGGAAGGTATTTCTAAACTCTCTCATTGTCATCGTCCTTTTTGTTTTGAGGCCGCTGGGCTTTCATACCCCTAGTACAGAGACGTGGTCTGTTTCGCTTGGAATCATGAGCTCTTCCTGAGTAATAATTTTCAACAGGTTGCTGCTGATTCCCTTACCAAGAATAAGGACATCTTCGGCAATATTTTTCAAAGGAAAAGGTGTCTTCTTTAACGGATTGAAGGAATTCAAAAGTCTCCAGCTAATCATTTCTCTCATAATCTGTTTTTGCTTGGAAAAGATTTGATTTGCCAATATAATAAAACCCTCTTACAAGAGGGGATCCTTTGGTTTCAAAAATCTAGAGTCAAATGGATTACTCAAGGTGAAAGAAACACCAAATATTTTCATGTGTCTACTATTTCCAAAAGGAAGTGATTGAAAATTGATTCTTTGTGTACTAAAACTGGGGTTTGGATTATGGAAGGACAAGCTGTCAAAGCCCATATTCAAGATTATTTTATAAATAAGTTTCAAGCTGAGCATGTGGCCAATCTTAGTCACTGGTGTAATTTAGCTTCCCAAACCATTTCTTTTGATGGGAATCACATGATCTCTAAGGCAATCACCAGTCATGAGATTTGGGAAGCCATAAAAAATATCAATGCTTTTAAAACACCTAGAAGAGATGGTTTTCAGGCTATCTTTTACCATAAATTTTGGGATATCATTGGTGAGAATGTTTGTGCTTTCATTAAGCATTGCTATTTAGAAAAAACGTCTCCCTCTGGAAATCAATAAAACTCTTATTGCCCTTATCCCTAAGATTAATAACCCTGAAACTATCAAACAATTTCACCCCATTAGCCTCTGCAATGTGTCCTACAAAATTATTGCTAAAATTCTTGTTAACAGAATTCGACCTCTTTTGCATGGCCTCATCCGTCCCAACCAAAGTAGCTTTCTCCCTGGCCGTTCTACTCATGATAACATCATTTTAACCCTCACACTCTTCAACATAGAACAGGTAAACATGGGGGCCTTATTATTAAATTAGATCTTGAAAAAACCTATGATAAGATCTATTGGGATTTCTTGAGAGATACCCTTTATGAATTCAAGCTAAACACTCACTCGATTAAGCTTATTATGTCGTGTGTTTCTTCCGTTAGTTTTTCCCTACTATGGAATGGTGAAACCATGGATGAATTTACACCTGGCAGAGGTTTGAGACAGGGTGACCCTTTATCTCCATACTTATTTGTGCTATGTATGGAACGATTGTCTAATATGATTAGGTACCATGTTGAGAAAAAACATTGGAAGGGCATCAAAGAAGCTAGGGAGGGACCGTCTGTCTCTCACCTTTTCTTTGCGGATGAACTCCTCCTATTTGCACAGGTTGATCAAACTAACTATGAGACCATCATGCACGCAATCAATGAATTTCGCCTCATTTCTGGCCAACAAATCAACCTCCAAAAATCTAAAATGTTCATCTCTCCTAATGTGGCTGGTAGAAAGGCTAAAGAGCTGAGTCAGTTTTGTGGAATAGCCTTAACCCATAATTTGGGTAAATACCTTTGAGTGCCCTTCCTTTACAACAGAGTTTAGAGAGGCAAGTACAACAACATTTTGGAGAAAATCCTGAACAAGCTATCCTCCTGGAAAGCTGATACTTTATCCCTAGATAGAAGAACTACCATCATTCAGTCTGTAACCTCATCCATACCCTCTTAAATCATGCAAACCAACATGCTTTCGCAGAGGGTCTGTAAATAACTTGACAAACTCAATAGGAGTTTTCTATGCAGGGACCAACGAAG